GCTATTGCGGTAAACATGTTTTAGCTACTGCTGCGAACATGGGTATGCAAATATCTCTCTGAGCCTCTGCTTTCATTTATTTTTAGTATATACCCAGACTCTCACTCTGTTGCCCATGCTGGAGTGCATTGGCACGATCTTGACTCACTGCAACCTCCGACTCCTGGGTTCAAGCAATTCTCCTGCTTCAGCCTCCTGAGTAGCTGGGACTACAGGCACGTGCCACCATGCCCAGCTAATTTTTTTGTATTTTTAGTAGAGATGGAGTTTCACCATGTTGGTCAGGCTGGTCTCAAACTCCTGACCTCAAATGATCTGCCCACCCCGGCCTCCCAAAGTGTTGGGATTACAGGCGTGAGCCACCGCGCCCGGCCCATCGTACTGTTTTCTGTAGTGGCTGTACCATTTTACATTCCCACAAGCAGTGCACAAGGGTCCCAATTTCTCTGCATCCTTGCCAACACTTGTTATTTTCTTTTTTGATAACTGTCATCCTGATGGGTGTGAGATGGTATCTCATTGTGGTTTTGATTTGCATTTTCCTAATAACTAGCAATTTTGAGTCTCTTTTCATGTGCTTATTGGTCATTTGTATGTCTTGTTTGGAGAAACGTCTATTCAAGTCCTTTGCCCATTTTTGAATTTGGTTATTTTGTTGTTCAGAAACACTTTTAAAAACGGTGCCAAGAGCTGCCTGTGCTGAAAAGGAGTGAGCGAGGGAGTGGCAGAAAAAGGAAAGATGCAAGATAGAGGACAGAAAGGAGTTCAGAGAGGGAGAAAGGGTCAAGATATGTTTTGTGGAGTGTTGGGGTGAGGGACGGCCATCCCTCAAATTTTTTTTTTTTTTTTTGAGACGGAGTCTCGCACTGTTGCCCAGGCTGGAGTGCAGTGGCGCGATCTCGGTTCACTGCAAGCTCTGCCTTCTGGGTTCACGCCATTCTCCTGCCTCAGCCTCCCGAGTAGCTGGGGAATACAGGCACCTGCCACCATACCCAGATAATGTTTTTTTGTATTTTTAGTAGAGACGAAGTTTCGCCGTGTCAGCCAGTATGGTCTCGATCTCCTGACCTCATGATCTGCCTGCCTTGGCCTCCCAAAGTGCCTCAATTATTTTATTTAACAAATATTGATTGAGCATCTACTATGTGCAGACACTTCTGAGGGGATGCTGTCTATACCTGTTTGACTCAGTTCACCGTGCTGGCTCTCTGAGTACACTGATCCTGTCCAGCTGCCAGGGCCAGCCTCTGGGAGGCAGTGTTTATAGTCACAGCCCATAGACTCTGCAGTCAGGCTAGAGATTGAGTCCCTAAAGTGGTGTGGTACAGCTTAGGACAGGTTATATGACCTCTCTGAGCTCCACATTCCCCATTTATAAAATGAAGCTAATAAGATAAATGAAACATGTCAAGTGCAGTGGGGGACAGCACAGAGTGAGACATGTGCCTCAGCCAGCCAGAGCAGCTTTCATGTGAGGGCCATCCTGCCCTCTGCCTCCTCCCTGCTCCACGAGCAGCTTCCCGTACCCTGACCTACTCCTCCGCAGTGGTCTGATTCATGGAATTGCAGCCCCTCCAGCCAGGGCTCCAGTGGCCATGTCTCCTGAGTGCTCTGCAGCTGCTTGACAGGTAGGCACCTGTCCTGGGCAGTACCAGCCAGTCAGGAGGCAGAACCCAGGAACCTGCAAAAACAACGTGGGAGTGTGAAGAGTGGGGTTCCCCTGATGGGAGGGGCAAGGAGGCAGGCACCAGCAGGGGCTGGGAGGTGGCCTTGGGGTGGGGGGGTTCTCCCTATCTCGGAAACAGGAAGCTTGTAATCCGGACTGACGTGGGAACTTGGATTTCCTGATTGAGAATTCAGGGCCCTTTCTTCACCAAAAAGCTGCTCTGTGCCTCTGCCTGCCCCCACCCCAGGGCTTCCTCTGTCCCTGCTACCTGTGCCCTCTGCTGCTGTCACATAGCCTGGAGCTTAGGAGGGCAAATCCTAGGCCCTGGGACCTTTTCTGTCTCCGTTCTGGAGCCCAGCTGAGTCTAGCTTCTTGAAGAGAAATCTAATTTTTTATTTCCTTTCCCTCCTGAATACAAATATGATTCATGTAAGGGGAGTGTACAGCACGGTGGGTGCGAGCGCACGCTCTGGTCAGAGGGTCTGAGTTCAGGTGCTGCCTCTACCTCTCATTAGCTGTCTGTGCCATGTTGGGCGAGTTACTGATTCCCTTTGAGCTTCAGTTTCTTCCTGTGAAAAATAAGGATAACATATCCCTCCGTCATGAAGTTGCTATGAGGAGCTTTGCTGGGGCCTGGTGCTCAGGAAGAGCCTGCTGTTAGCTACTCATAACATGATATGCAAACAAAAAGAAGTGTCCAGGCATCCTTGCTCCATGACGCAGGACACCCCTAGAAGAGCATGCTGGGGTGAGTACCCCTGCTTTGCCTGCCCCGCCCCCCCGCCCTGCATCCTGTCATCTCTTAGGGTATTGACTGGGCTCTGCCTCTCCCCAGAGGCCCAGTGGGTGGCAGGAATTGGGCCTGGTTCCTCTCCCAGGGCCTGGCCCACAGAGGATGATGGGAAGATTGTACCACAGGACAATAGGCTGGGTGACTGAGGGCCCAGAATCTAGGATAGTTCCTGGGGTGGGGTGGGGGTGTAGCTAGGAGGACTGTCAATCATGACTCATATTCAGGACACCCTGCAGAGGCGGGGAGGGAAAGCTGAGCTGGGAAAACCCCAAATGACATCTAAAGTGACCTGTTGAGAAATTTTGACAGGGAAGTCCTATTAATGCAGAAAGCAGGGACTAGGACCTCAAGAGGAGAGCCAGGGCATTTCACTTTAATAAAAGAATAACCATACCAGCCTCACAGGGCTGTGTGCAGGTAAAGGGGCTTATGAATGAGGAGTGTACACTTAGCTTGGGGCCTGGGGCCTTGTGTAGGTTCAGTCAGCATTGGAGCTTGGTACTGAACATAGGGATGGAGCCGCCTCCCCAGAAGGGCCTTGCCTGACCACCTTGTTTAAAGCAAGACCCCATTTACTCTCACAGCACCCTGTTGTTTTTCTTCAGCCTAGGTTGTAATTACACACGTCTGTTTACTTGTCCAGCAGAGCGGGGGCTGTGTCTGTTTCCACTGCTCCATCCTAGCACTGAGAGCAGGGGCACAGTCAATGTTCAATGAATGGCGGTCCCCTCCCCCAATCTTCTTCAGGCAGAGCTGGCTAGGAAATCTGCCTTTTTTTTTTTTTTTCAGAGGATTGGGCTTTCAGAGCCCCCTACAGTCCCTAGCCCCCTTCAGTGATGACCCTGCAGCCGAAGCAGCCGAAGCAGCGGCAAAGGGCTGCATGCTGTAGTCTCTGGCAGCCACAGAATAGCTGGGTGGGAACAGCTGGGAGGGGCCTGCGGCTGGGTCTTTCACTCACCTGGTTGGCCACAGTCCTTGATGGATGTTGGGGTCATTCTGGGACTACTTCTACCCTTTAACCCGTCTGCAGCTGTTTGGCCTGTGGCCCCACAGCCACACTGCATCTCCACCTGAGCCCTGTGTGGCTCCCCTCGCACCTGGTGCTAGACCTGACTTTCAGAGAGGCTTCCTTTTTGCTCCTCACTTTCCTCCAGCCCGCCTCCTTCTAGGTCTCCCCTGACTCCTGCCCTCAGCTGAGACCAGGGCCCTCTGGCCTTGGCAGATGTGTGAGTCTGAGGGAGGCCCTCTGAGTCCAGATGTAGTTGTGTTTATGTTCCCAGAGAGTGGGTCGGCGCTCTGGATTGGAGCCGCTGGGGGAGGGGTGGTCTGGCTCCAGCCCCCTGCCCTATTCCACCCCCACCCCCACTAGCCTGTGTATCTGGCACTGTCCATCTCAGAGCTCCACACTCCAGGTCTCACAGCATCAGGCTGACCATCCTCCAGAGAGGACCTCTCTTCATTCCTCATCTGAAGGTGAGAAAATCAGTGGAAAGATGCCTGGCTTTGGAATCTAAAAACCTACTGGCTCAGTGTGACCTTGGCCCAGCTACAGAGCCTTGGTTCTATCTGTAAAATAGGGACAACACTCCTGACCTCGAAGGCTGTGTTGACCTGGCTTGAGAATGTGTGCACAGGGCTCTCCAGCTGTCAGCTCGTGACTAAGCCTGTGGCTGTGCCCCACTCCTAGCTAGGGCTCGCCTGGGTCCAGGGCAGTGCCAACCCCCATCATAAGGTGATTCTAAAGCAGAATATCAACCCCTCCTTCCTCCCCCACTGCAGCTGCAAACATTTTGTTTTGCCATTAGAAATGACTTACTTAAGGGAAGCAGAATTTTACAGGCAGTTTACAGGCTGGTCTTGTTCAGTAGTTTCCAAAAGCCAGGGGAGGGCGGAGGCGGCCAGCAGTCCCCACAAGTTGAGATGTATTGGAAGTGAGAAGTGAGTCCTGTGTGACGGACACTTTCTCCTGCACAGCCGCACGCCCCTGGGTGGGCTCTCGGCACGTTGCGGGCCTTAGGGAGAAAGACAGCGGGAGGCCCTCGCTAGACTCTGGTAGATCCAGCTCCCTGTGTCCTGGAACAGCCTGGCCCTGGCTCCGAGGAGAGAAGAGGGGCTGTTGCCGGACCCACAGAAGAAAAGGCAACCCCAGGTCTAAAGAGGCTCTCAGCAGCCCCCTGCCCGAACGCTCTGGGCAGGCAAGGACCGTATTGCACCCTGGGGCCTCGAGGGTCACCAGGGAAGAACCTGCACAGTTCGGCAGCCGTGGAGGGAGGGGGTTCTTGCTAAGGCATCCCGCGCACAACGCCGAGAGGCGCAGGTTAGCGGGCGCGCACCGGGCGGGCTCGCAACGTTGGTCGGTGCCCTCATGGCAGCCAGGCTGAGCAGGTCAAGAATGGTGGTGGGGAAGCGGGGTAGGGAGACCTCGGCGGGGGCTGCCTTGGTGCTCCCCTCCTACCCAAGGGGCCCGGTTCCCTTTCTACCCACAGTTCCCTTTCTATCCACCTCCCTCCTCAGCCCAATGAAGCAGTCGGGGCTCAGCAGTGCTTAGCACGCTCGGACTATGGTTTTAATAGACGTACATGGACAAGTCGATATAGACAGATTTATAATTCTATACAGTCAGTCCAACATACACAGGGACGCTGTAAACAGGGGCGCGGGCCGGAGAGCGGGTGTGCAAAGTGGGCGCAGGGCCCTGGGGCCGCGCCCCTTGCTCTACCGGCTCGACTCTTGCACGGCGGGCGGTGAGGAGGGGGCTGTTCGCCCAGACAGGGGGCCGCCTCCTAGCCCGGGAGCAGAGCAGAGGGCCTGGGCTTGCGGCTAAGCTCGAGGCTGGGGTGTTCTGAGACGGACCTCCCCCTCCTCCCGCCAGGTCCGCACTGCCCGCCCGCTCCATGGCCTCAATATAGGGCTCCGGGGCGCAGGGCCAGCGGGGCTCTACCAGGCGCGCCGGAGCCGGAGCAGAGTGCGGCTCCACCAAGTGCCGGATCCTGGGCTGGGGCACCGTCACCCCCAATCCAACGCCTGCCCCAACGCGGATCCCGACTCGAGCTAAGGCGCTCTCGGCCGGGCCCAGCTTGGAGAGGGCATCTGGGTTTGTACGGGGTCGGAAAATCCCAGGCAAGTCCAGGTCCCACACATCCAGTCCGCAGGCCCGGCGGCTCAGTATGGGTCCAGCGCGGCGGGGACGCAGGCTACGAGGGCGTCCTCCCCCCGCCGCTGGGCATCCCGCCCGGGGGGCCGCTCGCCTACTGCGCCGCGTCCCCTCCGCGGAGTGGGCCTCCGGGGCCCGTGGGAACACACACACACCACCCGCGCCATCCCGAGGGAAATTGCAACTCATCCATTTTTTTCGCGGCACTTTTCTCCGACGTTTTTGCTTTGTTTTTTTTTTTTTGTTTTTTTGTTTTTGTTTTTGTCTTTTTGGAGGGCAGAGTGGGATCCGGAAAAGCAAACACAAAACCAACCCGGAGTGGGAAGTGGGAGGAGGGGGCTGCGCAGGCGCGAGGTCCGCAAAGCGGTGAGCCGGGGCTTGCAAGCCGGGGGCCCCGCGTGCGTCCTCCGCGCCCGAGCCCTTCCCTGCGCCGGCAGCTGGCCCGCGTGGTGCGGCGGGGCGGTCAGCTGTTGTACTGGCACGCGTTGAGGCCCGAGGCCGGGCCCTGCAGGCCGCCGTAGCCGAACGACGAGTGCTGTTTGGACTTGAGCCTCAGGCTGGCTAGGCTCGAGTTGCACGTGTCCCGGTAGACGGTGTAGGGCGAGGCGGGAGTGCCGTACGGGCAGGCGCCCGGCGACATGGCCGAGTTGAGCGAGGAGCCGGTGAGGTTGTTGATGTTGTTGAGGCCCGAGTTGGGCATGCCAGGCACGGCGCCTGGTCCCATGCTGGACGGCATGGTCATGGAGGAGATGGAGCTGGGTGCGGAGAACATGGACTGCGACGACAGCGGGCTCATAGAGTTGAAGAAGGTGAAGCTTTTGGTGGAGAGCGGCGCTGGCGCCAGGCTCTTGGCGGCCCAGTTGTTGTAGGAGTAGCCGGCGGCGTACACGTCCTCGTAGGGCTGCACCAGGCCGCTGAACTGCGGCACGTAGCCACCCTTGCACAGGTCCAGCTGCTGGTTACGCTCACGCTTCCGCCACTTGGCTCGCCGGTTCTTGAACCAGACCTGGGGGAGGGGACGGGAGAAGGGTCAGGGCTGCTGTGGGTCGGGAGGGCCCCCACCCGGCTCCCCACCGCCTGGAGCCCTCCATCCGCCCGCTGCCCTCCTAACTGTCGTTTCTCTCCTTCTACCGATATTTCTGCTCCTGCATTCCCTCCACAATGGTTCCTTTCCTGTCCCCAGAAAATACTATTTTCTTTTTCCGACCTTTATCCTCTCTCCCAAATTATATCCATTTTCTTCTCCGAATACAGATTCTCGTTTATTTGAACAGATATTCGTTTTCTTTCTTCCTCTCTCAACCAGTTCACCTCTGCCTTCTCCCCCAAACGGGTTCGCTCTGCTAAATATTTCAGTCTTTTTATTCTCCCTCAAATACAAAAGGTATTTTTCCTCCCTGAGACATAGGACTTTCCGACTCCCCCAATTCTTCGATCTGTTTCATCGCTCAAATAGTTTGCTATCATCTTTATCGGCAATATTTGATGTTTTCTTTTCGGCTCCAAATGTTTATTTTCGTTCAGTCTATCCCGCTGTCTGAACCTCTTTCTTCTCCCTCAGTCTGTTTTCTTGTTTATCCCCCATTTTTGATCCTTTTGAATCGTCCCCAAATATTAGGCTTTTTCATCCTTTCCAAATATCTGACCTCTACTGTTCCCCTTAAACAGTTGATTCTTTTTCTCAAATACCTGATCTTTTTGCTTCCTAATTTCTTTCCTGCCGCCTAAATATATGCCAAATATGTTTCTCCACAAATATTTAATTTTTTCTATTCTTACTAGTTTCTTCTAATCTTCCTGCCCTTCCTTTTCTCCCCCCAAATTTGGTGACAACCTCTTAGTCCTTCCCCATCTTTACCTATCTGCCTACTGCATGCTCTCTGCCCTCTCGGATTTTCCTCCAGTTCTGAGTGGAGTTTCCTGAGCTAGTTTGCCAGACCCCTGCTTCTCAGCTTTCCCTAGTCCCCAGCACTGACACTGCCTGATTCCACCCCCACTCACCCCTACCACCATAAACCTGGGCAGGATTAGTGAGTTCAGGATTACTGAGTGCTGTGTCTTCACTCCAAGTCCCACTGGGCTGGCCAGCCTGCCTAGGGAGGGGTGCGGGTTATGGTAAGGAGTTTGTGGGCCAGGTGGGACTTCGGTAGACTTGGGAGGTGCTCCCAATATCTGATTAAATATTTGCGCCCCCAGGGAAGAAATGATTCTGTTGCTACCCTGGCAGGAAAGCCTTGCTTTTACCTGAAACCGAACGGGTGAGAAGAGGGAGAATGCAGGCTGGTCTTGGGTCTGAGATGGCATATCCCAAAAGGGATTGGGAAGGACATTTGGGTCCCAGAGCCACCCCCCACCTCACCAGACAGGAGACCTTCTGGAAAAGGCAGAAGGCAAAGGGTCCTACTGACGGCTGGGGAGGGTGGAGAATATCTTGAGCTTTTAGAGAATCTGCTTTGTGAGATGGGACCACTGCTCCAGGAAGTTTTGAGAGCCCCAGACCCAGGCACCTTTCTGGCTTCTCCGAGGCAGCCAGGCAGGACCTGCCTTTCCCTTTCGTTTTCGGGGTAAAGCCAGCAGCTCCCGAGGTCCCCAGCGGCAGGGAATCCACTGCCCAGTCTCTGGCCCAGGGTATCCTGTTAACATCCAAGTGGGTCCTGGGCCCCACAGGGCATGGGGGAGTCCCCTGAGGGCACAGGTCTCTGGGCTGGGGCTGCGTTAGTCCGAGGATCAGGTAGGATGACGGTCAGAGGGGCTGGAGGTCCATGGCGGCCTGGAGGCCTGGCAGACACTAGGTGGGCCAGGGCCTAAGGTGGGGATCTCCGGTGGTAGGAGGGACCAGTTCTGAATGGTGGGAGAGTTAAGGTCTGCTTGTGGGTCTAAGCTTTGGAGGGCTGCAGCAGAGGCGGCCCGGGAGCCCTCTGCGCGGGTGCTCTTAGGTGCACCCCTTGCTCACCCGCACGCGCGGCTCGGTGAGGTTGGTCCACACGGCGATCTCCTCCCTCATGCTCATGTCGGGGTAGCGGTTCCTCTGGAACGTGGCCTCTAGCTCTTGCAACTGCTGGCTTGTGAAGTGCGTACGTTGCCGCCGCTGCTTCTTCTTCTTGGCTGGGTCGTCTGCGCTGCCGCAGCCCGTGCCTCCCGTGCCACTGTCCTCAGGCCCCTTGGATTCCCCGCCGCGCTCCTTCTCTGCAGTAGGCAGGACGTGGAGCAGGTCACCTGGGCTTACGCCCTGTTGCACCCCGTCCCGGCTCCACCGAAGCGCCCGCCAAGCCACCAGCGCTGGAGGTCTTCCCTCCTTCCCTCCCTCCAGGGTCCCTGGGAACTGTCCCCACTGGAAAGCGCCCGCCGGGTGCTGGTCGTCAGTAGGCACCTCTAGTCTGGTGTACCGCGGAGAAGAGCCCAAGAATCGGAGCCCTAGCCGCGGGCCTGGGTTCCTGGCTGGGCAGGGCCTGCACCCTTAGCTCGGCTCAGACTGCCCTGCTGCTGATGTTTGGAGCAAATGTATGCTTTGTTTTGTTTGTTTGTTTTGCGAGCTCTTAGGGGGTCTAAATCTGAGGGGGTCTCTGCTTTTCTGAACTAGGAGCAGATCTTTCCAGCCTAAACTCCTCCACTTTTTTCTCCTCAGGGATGTGTGGGAGCCCCACTGGGCAGGCACAACACAGCCGGTTCTCGGCCTTGCTTCCAGGCCTCCAGTCCCAAAGCCTAGAAAACCCCACCAACTGCAGCCCAGACAGACAGACTCTGTCTAGGTGACCTCGGGCTTCAGTCTGTCTCTCTTTGAAGCTACACAAAACACACGCAGCCATAGAAACATTGATACATAAAGAAAAAGAGTTTAAAAACAAAACACAGAAGCCCAGAAAAGCTCACAGCTCTATGCCTAAAGACACAGAAAGGGCCACAAATTCTCAAAATCAGACAGGAAGAAACACAGAGCAAATGTAAATTAAGAAGCCAGAAAGCTCGGTACAAACACACCCCTAACTAAATACAGACCTGTAAGTGTATAAACTCCAGGCTGACAGAAGCATTTATTTCTTTGGGATTTTAAAAAATAATGTACCGTTGTAAATAGATTTTTAACTCCCTCCCAATAAGGCCCTTACAGAGATAATTTTTAAATCCTAGAGAAACACATTATAGTTAGATAATTTAAATTCCCCAAATAACACCACTGTAAATGGATTTTGAGAAAATTCCGGAGAAACGCGCCATTTTGGATTGACTTTTTAAAATCTCCGGAAGAATAATGTTGCATGTAGATATTTTAAATTCCAGAGACCTACACTTAGTATATTAATTCTTTCAAAATCGAAAGATAAAGTTAAAATTGTTAATTCATCCTCATAGATTTGGTTCAAAAAATCAATCTATGATTATATCTCTCTCTAGGTTTTAAAAATAAAACCAACCAAAGACCGCACTTAAAACTTTTGAAAACAAAAGTATAGTTCAGCGTTGATTGTGTTTTAACCAAGCAAACAGAACCTCTCAGAAAAATCACTTAGGGATGTAAAAGAGAAACAAACAGAGATTAAGAAAGTGTAAAGAAACACTCAGCTGTGTATTAAGAAATGAACAGAAGAAACGAGCAGAAGAGGCGCCCATGCCGGGGAGCTCTGAGCCCCTCGGGGACCCGGCGGCTGCGCTGGGCAGCGGATTCGCTACCCCACTGCCCGCGCCGGCCACCCCCGGGCCCAGTTCGCTGCTGGAAAAAAGCTCCAGCTTGGACAAAAAGGCAGCGCGGAGGGAGACGCGCCGGAGCCGGGGCGGGGGCCAAGGCCGGGCAGCTCCGGGCTTCGGCTGCACACGTGGGCCGGATCCCTCGATCGGGGTTCGGGCTGGCCTTGCTGGGAGTCCGGCCGCGCCTCTTGGCCCGCTCGCCCTCACCGTCTTCTGTGTCTTCCTTCTACTTGATGACCCCCTCTCCCCGTTTACCCTTCCCGCCCGCCCCTTCTCTTTGGCCTCTCTCTTTCATTCTGTCGCCTACTGTCACGGTGTTAGCCTCTCTCTCTGTCTCTCTGAGCGTGTTCTCTCGCCCGTCACCCCCATTCCTTTCTCGGTCTGCTCCTCTCCCTTCGTCCGAGTCGCTTCTTAGCGCCCAGTTGCACAAATCCAATTTTCCCCCGTTCTATTTACTCCTGATCAAGAGGGGCTGTCAGTCCAACCCTCCAGCTGTAGGCTCATGCATCTGCCAGTCTCTTGGCGCGTGGGGACCGCGTGGAAGTGCCTTCGCGTGTGCGTAAGTTTCCGCGTTCACCGTCAGGTCGAGAACGGGAAAAAGAAAGCTCCTGACGCTTCTGGGGCGGAGAGGGAGCTTGGTTGCACGGCGCGGGCGTCAGGCCCTGCTCCCAGCTCCCCGTGCCCCGCGCCCAAGTAGGCTCCGTGCGCGCCGCCCGGGGAACGGCGCTTACCTGGCAGCTCCGTGTCAGACGACTCGCTGGCGGAGTTCTCGAGCTGCTCGCGGTGGTCGGCGGGCCGGGCCAGGTGGAAGGCGGGCCCCATGTCATGGGGTGGCGGCGGCGGCGGCCGGAGCCCCTCCGGTAGCCGCTCCAGGCTCATGCCCCCCTTGAAGGCGTCCATGGAGGTGGGGACCGCGGCGGGCGCTCCAGGGGCCGGGGCTGGGCGCGCCCCGCCGCCCTGGCTGCGACCTGCGGGGACAAGAGCGCAGCGCCTAAGCAGCTGCCCTCCAGGGCTGCCGGCGCCCGCAGCGACGCCGTACCCGCCCCATGGACCGCCCGGGGCTGCGGGGCCGGGCGGGCAGAGGCGGCGGCAGCTTCTCGCGACCGGGCGCCTGGCTCAGCGCTCTGCGCTGCGCTTCTGCCGCTCGGGCCTCAGCAGCCGGGCCGGCCCCGGCTCCGGCTCCGGCTCGCGATCCGGGGCCGGTTTCTAAGGCTCCGGACGGCGCCGGCAGAGTCTGTCTTAAAGCGACAGCGCGCACAGCCAGGTTCCAGCAGTCCCTGCGCCAGGGGTGCTGGGTGGGGTGGGCCTGGGTGGGAGGGGGCTGGGGAGGGAGCGAGCGAGCGAGGGAGCGCGGGCGGAATCCAGCCCCAAGCCGCCCGCGCCGCCGCGCCCTCTCTGCCGCCCTCCCTCCCTGCCTCGCCCGCGCCCTCCCCCTCCGCAGCCACCTTCCCGCCGCCTCCCCGCCCCCCACGGCCTCGCCGCGCCTCTCCCTCCTTCCCCGGTGACACACCGAGTTCTCCCTCGGCCTCACAAAAGAAACGCATCTGGCCTGCAAGTCCCGGGCGGCTCGTGCCCACCTCAGGCCCCAAATGACTTGTTTCGCCTAGAATCAACTCCCGTCTCGGCCGCCTCGAAGTCCCCAGCCCTGGCGAGAACAGCCCAGGATGAGTGAATGTTTGCCGAGCAGGATCGCACGGAGCGGGCGCGGAGCGGGCGCCTTCGAGCCAGCGCCGGGGCGGGGGCAGAGCCCGGGGCCCGTTCCGGCAGCTCCCAGCGGTGTCCTCGTCGAGGGGCCGTCTGCCCCTCCTTCTCCAGCCTCTTCTCCCGGGAACTCAGCCCGGCTGAGTGACAGCAGCCTGCGCTCTAATGGGCCCCCGGATGCTGCCTCCTAATTAGCTTGGACCTTCTCCCCTAAGGCTGCTTCTCAGGCCTCCCTCTCTGCACCGCAGTCAATTTTCCGGGATTGGGATAGAAATGATGGCTTCTAATCAGACGAAACGTTTCTGCTGGCTCTAGGCGTTTGGAGAATGCAGAGGGAAGACCCTAGAATCCCAGCCAGGCCCCACAGCCTCTTCTACCTCTCCCCTTGTTTTACACCTTACGCTTTGGCCAAATGGGCCAGGCCTGGCCTTGGCAGGCATGGGGTTGGCCTTGGCAGCCTTTGCCCTCCTTCAGGGTAGCTTTGTCCCAGCCTGGGGCCTGCATCCTGGCTTCCCAGGGCTTCAGGCACAGGCATGGTAGGCCAGGTGACTGCTGTCTCCCAACCCTGGGCCAGCAGCCCAGGAAGCCCTCAGTCTTCCAGCTTCTCTCCCCCACAGTGGTAGCTGAGTTGCAGCTCCAATGGGCCTTCACTGGGCACAGGCAAAGACATTACTCTCCCACTCCCAAGAGTGATTCCCTCCTCAAGTCCTTGCACGTAGGTGAAGTTTGTCGAAGGATTTTGCTCAACAATTGTTAGCTGGTCCCAAGACCTCAGCCTCTTGAACAAACAGGCCACAGCTGGGGCGGCAAGGCGCCGCCCTGACCTGCTTCTCTGGCCATAGGCGGACCCCAGACTGCCCTCTGCCCCTCACCTGTGACCAGCTCCACCAGACACAGCAACCCAAGGCAGCAGCGCCAGGGAGATTGTCGGTCTGGGAAAGAAGCAGGGAGGTGTCCAGTGTCCTCACCCCAAAACCCAGTGCCTCCCCAACTCCTGGGTGGGTGGTACTGACTGCGCAGGTGTCGGCGTCTGGGGCACTCTGCAGGTTCTGCCTTTGAGTCCTCGCCTTACCCCTTCCCATCACAGGGAGACACCCACGGTCAGCTGAGCTCCTTGTGAGGGCTGCTGGGGCCAGGGGCAGGCACACAGGCTGGAACCAGGCCTGCCTTCCATTCCCTCCATGTTAGTCCAAAGCGCCCCTGCCCCCATCCCCCACTCTGGGCCATGGAGAGACCCCACAGCTCCTTAGGGCCTGGCCCTTTCTCACGGTGAGGTGCGTCTGTGGCCATAGAATGCAGGGTCTGAGGCCAGAGGGAGGACACTTCCCAGGAGTTTGGGTTGGGGAGGCTCAGTGACTTCTGCCTTCTTCCAAGCTGAGATCTCCCTCCATGAAATGAGTCTTGGTCATGGGCAGAGGAACATGGGGAAGCACAGTTGCCCAGCATTTGCCCTCAGCCCCACCTTTACCACGTTTCTTGGAGTCTCCAGTAGAAGATCCCTCCTTTCAAGGAGATATTCAGGTGCTGCAGCATGCTGGGGAGTGTCCCTTCACACACCATTCTCCTTTTAGCTGTCTTATCCCATAGAACAGCCTGAGTGCAGACAGCATGGGGGCACACGCGCACACGCACATCCTATACATCCATGCGGAGATGCGGTGCACACACATGTACTCACTGCACTATGGAAGCGCTGAGTTTAGGCATATGTGTGCTACTTGGCATGAACGCCGGTTGGCATGGGATAGGAGGTGTGTTCTAACCCCACCACATGTCAGGCCAAGGTGGGAAGCACCGTGCGTCTCTGGGCAGAGACGTAGAAATGAATGATCTGTCTGTGGGCATCCAGAGGAGGTTGGGACTCATAGCCCCTCACTTCCCAGAGGGACCAAAGTGACTCTTTGGGCCATCCCCCAATGGGGACTGTTTTGTGAGCAGCACTCACTGCTTTGTCTGAGGGGCTGTATCCTCACTGTTAGTGCATTTAATGCAGTTATTGAGCACCTGCTGTGTGCCCCTCTGGGCCCAAACTTCTGGCAGGGCTCCAGGCAGGCACAATAGTCCCTTTATTTGGTGATCTTGATGCCTGCTGTGTAGATGGAAAAGCCCTCAGACTGTTTCAGGTGAAGCCCCGTATCCTCAGGGGACCTGAGACCCAAAGAGGGGCTGGGGCTAGTGGGGCCTGCTGGCAGAGTCTGTTCTGCCGGGCCTGGGCAGCACGGAGTGATCAAGGAGTGAGGAGGCAATTGATTGTGAGGAGGCTGTGGCCTGATCTTGGGCATTGGCTGGGGAAGGGACCTGGACACGCTTTCTGTTCTTCCCCAGCTACTCTCTCTCACTGGTCATTGTCCCAGTCAAGATAGGGGCTTCTTGCACACTCACGGACATGTCACACACACAGGACAGAAAACAGCACTCTTTCAGGAGTAAGCAGAGGCTTCGTGTTCCCCCAGCTGTGCTGGGTGACCTGTGTTTGCCTCAAGGTAAAGATTTGATCAGTCTTGAGCCTCAGTTCCCACGTCCAACACCGGACTCTGCCTGCTGCTTCAGTGTCCAGCTCACTTGCTGATGGGACAGGAAGAGAGGAGGGAAGGGGGCTTAGTGGAGCTGGAACCATGTGCCCTGTTCCCCACCCCTCCCTGACCACACAAAGCCAGCAATGATTCTGTGATGTTCAAGAATTTTGGAGTTTAGGGTCCTGGCTGGGCTGAGCAGAAGAACCTGGGCTGTTGTGGGGTTGAAGTAGTCACCACGAGGACCCTTCCTGAAGCCTAGCTCACTAAAAACAGCCTGTGCCCAAGAATGGTTTAGTAATGTAATTTGGGCAGGGTGGTTGGAAGGCTCTTATGGGTGGGGGCCATCCTTCTACCCACCCATGGGGGCACCCTGCTCTAATCCTTGCTCCCAGAATCAAGGTATTTTAGGAAAAAGGAAGGAATGTGCCATGACCTGCCACCAGGGCTATCCATGACTCTCTGGGACATTCCAGCCCTAAGCCTCTTAGTCCGTGGAGAAGTTCAAACTTGAAAACCCAGTTTTGGGAGTGCAGGTTTGGACCACCTACCTCTTTCTGCCTGATCTAATACCCCCTCCCCAATAAAAGCTCCTGTTTCTTTGAATACAGCAATTACTGGGTAAGTGGGGAGGAGGGTGCTCAGGTAGGGGCTGGAAAGACCTCACTGGCTCCTTTAGGCTTCCTGGGACCCCAGTCTGAGGCTTCCTGCCAATTGGGGATCCCCAGCCTGTCCTGGGGACAGCCAGGATGTATTTGGGCAGGACTGCCGCCAGTGAAGCACAGATGGGAGTATGGAACTCAGGACTCTGTGCTGTGGGCCCCTCAGTCAGCGGCTGGTAGGACCCATGGCTCTCCCCAGCCCATCTCTCACCTAAGTCCATGGATGCTGTCTGGTTCCTGAGAATGGCTGAGCTGGGGGGAAGAAGACTAGGAAGGACGTAGCAGCTGGTCGCACAACTGGGGAGCAGGGGCAACTTATGGATGCACCATAGCCTCCTCTTCCCAGCGGTTGCTTTCATGGGAGAAGAGCACCCTGAGCCTGTCTGGAGGCCTCTGCATCCTAGAGTCCAGACAGCCTGGTCTCCACGCCCCAGCCCACCTCTTTTCCTTTCCCTGGAAGAGAGGCGGGAGGCCCAAAGCAGCCCCAGGAAAGGGTACGGGGACAGCAGGTCTTCTGTGCTGCCCCTGCTGCCTGTAGCTTTTGCCCTGACTACCCTAGACCTGAACCCTAGACCTGAATCCTCCCCTAGTGGACAGCAACCTGGGATTTCCTCCCTCTGACCCTGGTGGCTTTCAGAGGTCACAGGGATATCAAGAGAATACACAAGCCTTAGTTTTTCAGAAAAGTGAACTAAATATTTGTAGATTCAGGGAATTCCTAAATCGGAAAAGTTTGGGACCCGGATTCCAGCCTGGGGTTCCCATTACTGCGATACCAGCTTTGGGGCCCTTTGCTGCGGTAGAATAGGCTCCAATTTACGAAGCCGGTCAATTTCAGAAATCCGAGACCCGGTTCTTGAGAAGCGGCTGCAGTGCTCTGGGACCCTGCGTCAACAACCAAACCCGGGAGAAGCCGCGGGAATGTCTTTATTGGACGTTACGAAGGAGATTTGGGGTTTCTCTCCTGGGAAGAAAAAGCCCGACCTGTGCCGGCGACGGCAGGCCGCCATGGGCTGGGGGCACCTCCGAGCGCTGCGACGGGACGTCTGGGTTCGGGGCGAAGAGAGCCAGGGCGCGGACCGACGTCTGCTGCTTTTCTGCGGCATTGCTGCCCGAACGAACGAACGAACGAACGAATGAAGCGGTTTCGTTTAGGAAAAATACCCTCTTGAAGCGAAGTCCCGGGCCACACAGAGGGGCCAGCACTTCCATGGGTGGTGGGGCACTCTATCGCTGGACGCAGCGGGGAGCAGCGGGCGGCCCTCTCTCCTGCCCACTTCTCCTGGGGGTGGGGATGGGGGCCCTGCGTCCCGCGCCGCCGCGAGGGGCTGCCACGGGCTTCCCAGGTTGTACCCTTCGCGGGGCCATGGCCCATGCTCCCGAGGCTGCTACCCTTTTGGGGTGCCCGGAGCTAAAGCAGAGGGTTGATCCCACCAGTTAGGTGGGGTAGCACCCAGTGACGGCGGCTATGATTGTGCCCTGGGTGCAGGAACGAGCTCCTCGCGCTGCCTCGAAGGCTCCTGACCTTCCGCGCCTTGCGCTGTCCGGCGCTGCTGGCAGGACCCACACACGCCAGAAGCAAACTGCGCAGGACTCGGCCGCCACCTCCCTGCGCCCCTCCAACGCGGAGACCTTGCGCCCCTAGCCCAGCGTCTCTTACCCCACCTGGGCAGCGCTGTGTCTGCGGCTCGTTGGCTCCGGGCTCGCCCGCCGCGGACTCTGGCTCAGGTTTCGGCTCCGGCTGTGGGACCCGGATCCAGCTCTGGCTCTGGCACTGCACGGTTCTTCGACCCCTGCTGGTTCGCTACATCCCAGCGCGCGAGGCCGGGGCGGCCTCGGCTCGGCCCGCTCCTCCTGCCGCCGCCGCCCGTCGCCCGCGGGGAAGGCGGGGACACCGGCCGGGAGGCGGGAAGCGGGGGAGGGGAAGCTAGGCGCTCGCCGGGACCTGAGGGGAGAGGGGCGGCGCGCAGTCCCGCCGGCTAGGGGTCCCGGCCTCCCTCGGGGCGCAGGCTGGGGTCCGCGTGGCTGGCGGCCGGGTGTCGAGGCCCGGGAGCTCGCCCTGGGACCTCCGTGGAGGCGCCCGGCCGCATGCGGACCAAGCCGCAGCGGGTCCCAGCCTGGCCCTGGCGCACTTTGTCTCCCTGGGCCCAGTTTCCCACCTGACTCGTGAGGGGCTGTCTCTACTTCCTTTTAGACAGGGGCTGGTGGTCGAGTCGGGGGTTTTGAGATTGGACCTTTCTTCTTTCTGCTCAGCCTGCGGGAGGGAGCTGGTCTTGCGTGTTGGCAGGGAGAGTCCGCTGCCCAGAGCGTGGCAGCCAGGGAGGTTTGAGGACAGACCCCAGGGTTTCTGTGTTTGGGGGTAGGGGGTGCTAGGGAGGGGCAACCGCCCGACCTGCCCTGTTTGGGGGATTGCCTCCTTCTCTCTCCTCAGGGGCTGGGCTGGTGAGGAAAGGGCAGACCAACCCCTCAGGACAGACACTTCTGGGGCCCCTTGTCCAACCCCTATGCCTGCACATCCCCCAGCGGCCATCCTGCTCCGGGCCTGCGAACGGTGACGCCTCCACCTCCGTGGCCCCGCAGGCCTGTTCCTGGCTGGCTGCCACTGGGAGATGGGCTGGACGCAAGGGAAGTGGGAGCCTGCCCTTTGCCCACCCTCAGGCCACAGGGCTCCCCAGCGTTGCCCCGTGGCCAGATAACCCTGTGCGCGAAGCCTCATGGGGGAAACCAGTTGGCCGAACCTACTCCTGGTACCCCGAAGTGCCCAGCCTGAGCCTGCTTGCTGCTGGGATTCTGGGATGGGACCACAGGGCAGGTCGAGCTGTGGCCTGACCCTCTCAGGGACGGCCGCGGACGGCCACGGGCTCCAGAGCGACCGTTTCGGGCGCAAGGTGCCGGGAGATGGCAGCGCGGCAGCCGGGCGTGAATGTTTCATGAGGTGCAGTCAGCAGCGGCGCCTCCCTGCCTGGTTCTCGCCGACAGCTGCTGCGGGAGAGGCCGCGACCCGCGCCACCTCGGCGTCCTGCTAGTCCGTGCCTCCAGGGCGGCTTGGCCTGGGAACGCAGAGGCCCACGACGCCCTCCCCAACCTCCAAAGTGGGAAGCTGGCCCGACCGAAGCTCACAGAGGCCTCGGCATTCAGGCCTTGCCAGGTGGCCCCTGAACCCTGTCGTGCTGTTCGGGGGACTCCATACCCTCCTCTCAACCCTCAACAGCAGGAATGCCTCTCCAGTGGTGTGTGCCGGGCTCTGTGCACCCGGGGTTGAGTCCCCGATGCCGGCACTAGCGGACCCTGGACGTGGAGAAAGTGCAGTCTGTCGACTTGGACCCTGTGCTGTGGGCATTTTAGCCCCCTACATCCACTCCCCTCCCATTGACTGCTTTATGTGTAAAATGGCTTGTTGGAGGGTCCAGTCCTAGAACTGCTAAGCCGAGAAGCTTCCAATCTTGTCTCTGGAATCTTCCTTCCACTCCAAGCACCAGGGGCATCTTTGGGCATAAATGCAACCACTGGACCTTACTATGGAGGGCTGCACAGGCACTCCTGGGGTGGCTTTTACTCTGGCGTCTGTAGCAGGAAATCACACCTTCCCCCCTCCCTGCATGCCCCCTCCCTGCATGCCCCCTCCCTGCATGCTAGCAATTTTCCGAGTTTTGTTCTCATCTCTTATGAGATTTTCTGCATGCTCTTGTCCCCAGGCAGGGCCTGTGGTGCCAAAAAATGCTGCCTCTGGCACCTGATGGTCTGAGCCTGAATCTTGTCTGGCTTTTACTAGTTGTGTGACTTTGGCAAATAACATAACCTCTCCTAGCCTCAGCTTCCCCATCTGTGAAATGTGAGAAAAAGAATTCCTGCTTCTTGGGAAGTGGATGAGATAATGAAGGTGAGAGGCTTGGTCCTGAGTCCTGTGGACAGAGGGGCTGAATGCTACCGGTGATAGATGCGAGGTTGTTCTTTAAGAGAGTTTGCTCTTGTTTTTGTTTCCTTCTTTCTCCACGGTGGTCATGTTGGTTGAGTCTAGGAGGAACAGATCCCTCTTCTGATTTAGTTTATCTGCCCTCATCCCCTGCTTAGGTGCTAGGAAGTTTGGTCCAGGAAAGCTGGCCAGGCTGGTGGGTGGGGCACACCAGGGCCTGGAAGTCAGAAAGTTCTTAGTGAAACTTGGGGGGTACAAAACACACTTTTTATAATCTTATTTTCCCTTCTCTAAAAAGATTTTTTTTTTTTCAATTTCCCTTTAGTTTTGACATCTTGGGGAGCATATATTCCCACTGGCACAGTGGAATCGGGAATCAGAGAGAGAAGAGATTTGGGGCAGGATTCACCAGGAAGAGAAGTAGTAGTCACTGTTCCTGAATATCACTTTACTTTTCAGCTTCCAGGTGCCCCATCAAAGAAAGTCAGCAGAATTGGCTGAATTTTCTTTGTGTTTCAGTCCAAACTACTGTGCTTCCTCTAATATAAATTTTTCTCCCTAGTGCAAAACGCTTTGATGAATTTGTTACATGGGTTCATGCTGAACATAATGAGCAAATGTCTGCAGCCACTATTATACAGAGGACCATAACAATTCTTCAGGCAGTGGTTTTTTTTTTTTTCCAAATCTTAATACCAAGTAAAACTAGGGGGAGTATTCTTTTCCTTCATAGCTCTTATTGCAACAGTATTGAAATTAAATATTTGTGTAATGATAGATTAAAACCTGTTGCTCCTACCAGTTGTAAGCTTCTTGAGAACAGGGCTGAGCGTCTCTTGGCAACAACTATAGGACCCTCCCCAGAGTGGGCAAGGGATTTAGTTATGCTGATTGACTGGGTACAGCTTACATGCCCACTCCTGCACCAATCACTTTGTGGGGGAAGAGTGGCTCAGGCCTTTGCTTGGCCAGGGTCAGAGGCTGCACTCCAGAGTCACCATGCTCCTCCAAGAGTCCTGGCATCTATTTGGAACAAGTTCTCTGAGTTGGTGGAGGGAAAGGGTTGGTTTCCAAAGAAGACTCTGCCCTGTGAAATTTCTCAGGGGGCTGCTGATGGTATGGGTAGCAGCAAGTCCAGTCCAATGTGATGGGGAGGGATTGGCTCTGTTGGGAGAGTCTGAAGTCATTCAGAATTGTTCCTGCACTCATCTGTGGGGAGAGGTGAAGCACTGCCAGGAAGTCGGAGGGGAAGCTCGGAGTCTTGATTACCTGTAGGAATGGATCCACAAAGTAAGGAAGGGAATGTATTTGTACTCCCTTTTTTATCTGTGAGAGGGAGGAAGTTTGAGGCTTTAAAAGTAGAGAGGACCCCCTAGGATCAGGTAAGATATTAATGTATTTGAGCATTATTCTATTGCACTGTGCAAGTATTGGTAGTCAAAGCAAAATGAGAAGCTATTTGGGCATCTGAAGTATTGTTTTCATTGTAGTCCTCTCAGCATCTGCATGGAATACTGGACAGAACCCTGTCCTGAGACCCTCCTAGAATGGCCTCTCAGGTCGAAAAAAATGTAGAGAGCACCTGTTTTGTGCCTGTGATTGCAGAGATACAGAGATAGGTGGCTCCTGTTCATTTGGGTTGAGTCAAGGAGGCAGACACAGAAATCCATTACATAGTGGGAGCACAGTGTTGGAGAGAAATCTGCAGCCTGCTGTTGAAGTGTCTTGAGTGACACACAGAAGAGTTGGCTGTAACAGTTTTTCTACCACCTGGGGACCCCTCCCTAGGAAAATATAATGTGCAAAGGATCTGAAGTGAGATAAACTGTGGTATGCTTGATAATAAAGGAAGCCAGTGTGGCTTCATAATAGCACTGGAACAGATGAGAAGGCAGGGCAACAGATAGGGGAAGAGGAAGTTGGAGAATCAAGTGGGAACCAGATCCCACAGGGCTCCATAATCTTTGATAGGAGGGTGGGATGTTATCCTGAAAGCAAAGAGGAGCAGATGAAGGGTTTGAACAGTGAGAGACCTGGCCAGATGTGTATCTTAAAAGCCCACTCTGCCTGGAGAGAGGAGGATGGATTTGAGGTGAGATGGAAGCATATTATTGCAACATCATTTGCTGAGCTGCCCAGCTTCTCTATCTATCTCTTCATTTCTCCATCAATCCATCAGCCTTTGTCCACTCATCTGCCATGAATGCAGGAGGCCACAGCTTGGCATGGGAAATATGAAGGTGAGACATTATGGCCCCTGCCTTTCTGGAGCTGCCCCTCGAAGACCTCAGTTTACCCATCTGTAGGCCTAGTGAGTCTCATGATCACAAGCTCTGCAGCCAGTGCCTTGGTCTCCCTCCAGATGTCTCCCTCCTGCACAGGACACAGAGTGCTCAGGGCCTGAAGGGGCACAGCCACTATCACAGATAGACAATTCGGGGAGCCAGTACAGTGAACAACCCTGTCGGAAGCTTTTAAAGTAATTGCCCCTGCCCGTACTGGCTGACTGGCTGATGGCAGCCTATTAGCCCTGAGTTGGAAATTCTGAATTGTTTCATGATAATTGAACACAGGATTGGAGGCTGGGAGGGAGTGGCCCATGAAATATTTATGTTTCCTCAGTGTTGTGGGCTGCTACCCTTTAGCCTGGGAACCCTGGAAGTACGGGGCTGGTGGCTTCACAGTGACTGCCATTGTTCTTGGGGGTCTTTGGGTCACCTCCCTGTGGGGAGATAGGAGTGCATTTTGTGCAGTTGTAAGGGTGGTTGGGGGCCAGCACTGCTATAGCCTCATTCCATGCTGTGCACCCTGGCACTCCAGTCTCACTCTAGTACCAGAGAGGGAACAGAACCTGGGGACTTGAGATGCTCTATGTTTATGCCTGGCCCCAATTCTCCCTGTACTTAAGGCTCCCAGGAGTCAGCCTGGGTGCGAGCGTCAGTTCTGCCCCCTTAGCATTGTGAGCCTTGTTTTCTTAGCCATTCAATGAGGGATGCAGAGTTCTTGCCTCGCAGGGTTGTGAGGGACAGAGATGCCCATATGCAGAGGGCCTGGCCCTCAGCCACAGCTCACGAGACCATCCCAAGCAGCCCTTGGTAGATCCTAGGGTCAGGCCAGGGCTGGCTATGGGAGCCCCTATGGGATCCCCGGGGCTTTGTGGTCTCTTTTCCTCTGCAGATGCTTTGTAGTAGTCTGTGTTTTTCCCTTCTCTGCAAATCCTAAATAAATATTCATGCTAGGAGGGTCTGTGCCAGCCTGGCAGGCATTTCTGGTGGGTGGGGTGCCCTAGAGTCTTGGTAAGGAACCCCATATGCCCACCAGCCCAGGCCTTTGCTCATTAGATTGAGGCTCCGCCATGGCAGAGGAAACTGGTGGGTGGTTCCTGCCTGGCTGCCTGACCTTGGAAGCTGCTCAGGGGCAGCAGGAGAAGGACCCTTGCTGTCTGAGCTCTTGGCTTGCCAGCCTACCAGACAGCCCAGTGAGGGGCCCACTTTTCTTACCTTGGAAGGTGGTATTTATTCATCTTGCAGATGAGGAAAATGGAGGCCATACTTCAGTCGTTCATTCAACAGGCAATTATTAAGTACCCACTCTATGTGCTGGCATTGGGTGGGGTGCTGGGGACTCAGGAGTGATGGACAATGCTGATGCAGTCCCTCACAGGGGATCAGATCCAAAGATGAATGCATCTTTAGAAGTGGTGCCGGTTTGGAGCCATGGGAGCACAGAACAAGAAGAGCAAAACTAACCTGGTGGTCAGGGCAGACTTCCTGGAGGAAGTGACCTACTGGCTGAGCACTGAGGGTAGCAGGGGTTTACCCTGAAGCTGGGATGGGGGCAGGGCCATGACAAAGCTAGTGAAGGGCAGGTGCATCTGGATGTTCTTATCTACCTGGGGCTAGGTGCACAACACCCTGTGTGCCCTCCTGCCCCTGCTACCATGAGGAGCCTAAAGAGGCACCAAGAAGGGTTTTCACGGCTCCAAGGTGCTGGGTTCCTTGCTGATCGTCCTCTCTGGGCTTTATTTTCTCACCTAAAAAATTAGAAGTGAGGTTAGTTCTAGCAACAGGGCACATTTTTCAGATGAAACTTTACTAAGACCCCTAAACAGAGGAATGAAGTGATGGCCTGGTTGCTGTCTGCTCTCCCCTGTAGCCCCTTCGGATGCAACAGACACCCCCGAGGAGCTCCAGAGCTCCCTAAGCCATAGTTTGCAAACTGTAGGAGCCCCTTTAGAGGCTTTCCAGCCCAGCCTCCAAGGGTCCTGGACCCTGGGGATAGCCAAGGCAGCCTCCCTCTTTATCCCTCAGGGACCTGTTTCTTGTTCCTTTTAAATGTCCTGTTAGCCGTTTGTGATTGAAGTCAGCAAGCATCTATTGAATACCTACTGGATGCATGCAGAGGGGCTAACACTTTCTGAGCACCAGCTCTGTGATAGGTCTGAACTGGGCTCATTGTATCAGGCTATTTCCCCATCACAACTGGCTGCCAGCTCATTTTACACGAGGAACTCAAATTGGTTGAGGCTCGCTGACATGGCTAAAGCCCCAAATAACAGTAATAATAACACCAGCTCGCATGGATTAGGCCCCCAGGTGTGTGTCAGGTCTTTGCAAACATCTTCCTGTACATTAACTCCTTTAGTTCTCAAAGTGAATCTGTAGAGCAGGGACTGTTTCCATCTTCAAGGATCAAAGAAGTCAAGTTGCAGGGAGGTGAAAGTGCTGTCTGGTGTCTGGGTTGTGTCTGGGGCTGCTCCCTCCCTCCTGCCCTTTGCCGGGGAATCAGAGGCAGCTGCAGCCACGGCCTCCAGGATAGTGGGCTCCCCTCTGTGTTCCTACTGTATATGCAGGGAAACTGAGGCCCAGAGACTCACTCTCCCTGGAATGTGTCTGCTCTCTGGGGCTCCATCTGGCACTGACCTCCATCTTTCTTCATCCTGGCATCGACTATGAAATGAGAACCTGGCGTCTCCCCAGAGACCTTGCCTTACTGGGGACTGTCTGCCTGTCTAGCAGCATGAATGAGGGCACATTGACCTCGACTGGTTGGGCAGAACCATCCTGGTGAGTCCAGGACACAGGGTGGGGTCAGCCCCTCCCATGGAGGCTGGAGCTGGGGGTGAACCTGTCTCCCCTTCCCTTGCCTCCTGTTGGATTCTAGCTCACCCTCAGCCCTCCACCTCAAGCCTTGAGTCTTCACAGGCTCCCCCACCCCCTTCTCCAAAACTCCTCAAGTGCCTGTACTTACATGTGACTGTCTGAGTGACACGGCCTGGATGCTATTCTTGCCCCAGGGGGAATGCATGGTACTGAGGAACAATGGTGGCATTTCAGGCAGGGTGAAGGGACGCTGAACTTTTGGTGGATAGAGAGACTCCTACCTTGGTATACCTGCAGTGGGGCCTTGGGGCCACTGAGGATGGGGGCTCCCCCTGAGCCTTGGAGGGGAAACTTGTCTGTGCACAGAGCCCAGATCTTTGCCGCGTAGACAAACACAAAGTGAGGGGACGAGTCTTGACAAATGTTTGCCAAGTCCCTGGCTGGCTTGGGAGTCAGGAGTGAGCTTGTTTGGCAGAACAAAGGGGAAAGCAGCCTCCAAGGGGCCATAAATAGCAAGGAAAAGGGAGTGGCCTGGGCCTGAAGGCTCCATGGGACCTTGTCTCCAGGCTTGTATCCTCTGCCAAAGCTGCCATCATCCTCTCCCACGTGCTTTGGGCCAGCTGGCCAGAGCTTGGACCATGTTGGTGGTAACCTTCTTGCTCCACGAGCTGCATCTCCCTGGGAGTCCCTGGGTGCTGGGTCACCTGAGGTGCCTGGAAGGCTGGGAGGTCAGTGTGACCTGTACATCCCAAGGTCCCTCTTCCTGTAGGAACCAGGAAGTTTGGCTAAAGTCAACAGTGGTAAAGTTTCCTAAGAGGCAGAGCTGGTCTAGTCCTGGGACCTGGGAGCTTGTGACACCTGGATATACTCAGGCTAGGAGGGGTCCCAATACTCCCGCCCCCAGAACTGGGGGGCTCAAGGGAACCTTGTTCTTTCTGCCCATATTCCAGACAAATATGGCCACCTACTTCTTCAAAGGAAGAGGGCAGGGCAGGAGGCAGAGGGTGGCAAGACCAGATACTTTGCCTATTTGGGCCTCAGTTTCTTTGCTGTAATGTGGCTTGGCCAGCCAGCTGCGATCCCCCACCTTCTCATCCCCTGTTACTGTGAGCATCAGGTGAGGGCCCGCATCAGAGAAGGCTGCCTAGAGGAGGTACCTTTTGCACTGGGGCTCGAGACCCTGGCAAGACTTCCTTCAGAGCGGGTGAGAGGGTGTTTAGGAGAATGCACAGATAGGCAAGCATGTGGAGCTGGGGAAGATGGGCTGTTTGGGGACCTGCAAGTTCAGTTGAGTTCAGGGTGGCAGAGCCCAGAGTGCTCATGGGGGTGTGATGAGGTACCTTTCCCACCCCCTGGGGACCATCTCAGGCAAGGATGTCTGAGCTGGGAAATGGCCTGAGCAGGGCTCTGCTCTAGGAAGGTGGGGAGGGGGTAAGAGGTGGCTGAGCTGGTCTGGATGAGAGACCAGTGGAGGACTACCAAGGGCCCCTGCCTTTCTCCTTTGAGCTGCGAAGGAGGTGTCCTGGCAGGGGGAACTCAGGAAAGGCCAAATTCCTGAGTTCACTGATGATCTGGCCTACTTAGCAAGGCTGGGCCTCCTTTTTTTCTAAGTGGAGATGGTCCAGATCCCTAGGCTCTGGCCCCTGGACCCCCCACCGGGGATGTGGCCTGAGCTCTCCATGCCTCAGTCTGTGTCTCCATGCTTCCCACTGGCTCTCCATGCCCTGTGTCCAGTATTCTTCAAGGCGCCCACTCCATGGGCCCTCAGGAAGAGGAGAGCTGGCCAGGAGACTTGGTAGAGAAAGTCCGGGTGCTTTCCCCGTCCTGGGCTCTGTCACAGGCCCACCCAGAATTACTGTGGAACTGTCACCATTTGTCCAGGCTTCCCTGGCTGTGTACCTTGCTTTAGAGGTGAGCTTGGGGCCTCAGTGCCTATGATGGGAAGGACTCACCCCAGGTCAGGTACTTTCTTTCATTCCAGCAGCCTTGTGGGGTTCCTACCTGGCCAAGGGTCCATCTGGGCCTCTAGCATGGCAATGGAGAAACCCTCTTTAGCCACCCACACCCTAGCCTACAGAGAGGGGGAAGAGGGGCTGCCAGTGTGTGTGGGAACTGCTTTATGGAAAGGCTGGTGACTGGCCCTCCCTCCTGGAGGACAGAGGAATGCAGGCTGGGGCCTTTGTGGAGCTTGTTGCTGTGTTCTGGGTCCATACGTCTGGGTTCCCTGCTTCCTGCTCACGCTTCTATTTTGCCTTCCACTCTCTAGTGGGCCTGGGATGGGTGAAGAGTTGTCCCCACTTCCCCAGCCACCTTCATTTAGGTGTGGACCCTTTCACCAGCCTGTGTCTGAGGCTGGATCTCTTGAGTTCATTCTCCGTTCCCCATTTTGATTTTATTTTTAAATTTGTTTTACTGTATGTACTTAAGAAAAGGCCATCTTAAAGCCTTTTGGGAGGAAGTGGGTCTAAACATGTAAACATAATTAAATCATAAACACAAACCACTTAAAAAAAGACATTTTGAAGAAATGTGAATAGTTTAAAAATGGGGCAGATGCTCAGCTTCCTGACAGGTACCTGAGTTTTTATAGCAGTTTTATTTGTGATGGCCAAAAGCTGGAAACAACTAAAATGTCCTACAATAGGTGAATGGTTAAACAAACTGGTGCATCCATACCATGGAACACTACCCAGAAATAAAATGGAACAAACAGTTGATTTCTTTTGGCTGAGTCTCAAGGGCATTATGTTGAGTGAAAAAAAGCCAATCTCAAAAGGACACTTACTGTCTGACTTCATTTATGTAACACCCTCAAAATGACGAACATTTCAATGTGGAAAACAGATTGGGCCAGGAGCTGGGGCTGGTGGGGAGAGGGGGTGAGCGTGCCTGTCCGGAGAGCAGTGGGGAGATCTTGGTGTTGGTGGGTTGATTCAGTGTCTGGATTTCGGTGGTGATCTCATGAGTTTATGTATGTGATAAAATGACATGGAACTATATGCACACTTTATACCAATCAATTGCCTGGTTTGGCTATTGTGCTAATAAGGTATAGTCACTAGGAAAAACTAGGTGAATCTATATTATTTCAGATAAGGAAATATGGGGCAACTCCCGTGAATTTATATTATTTCAAAATAAAACGTTTAAAACTGTAAATAAATAGGCAGTTTGAGGTTCTGCTTGGGGGGCGGCGGGCATGCCCTCATGGCACACCAGGAGCTGTCTCCGGACCTGAGAAAGGCAGGAGGGCGAGGGGCTAGGGCGATGGAAGGGGGAGATCAAGAGTGGCGAGGCAGAGGGAGAGCGCCCAGAGCCTCGCTGGAGCCCATCCCGGCATGGCTGCTGGGACCAGCAGGCCGATCGCGGGCCGCGAGCACATCTCACAGAACGTGGGCGCAGAGGGCCCGAACTGTGCCCGGCGAGGAGGACGCGTGTGGGTTTTGACTATAAGGGTTCTGACCACTTGGGGACAGCGAGTCGACGCAGAGGCACGGAGCTCAGAGGAACACTCGGGGTGTCCTCGCGGCCTCACTCTTCCGCACGAGGTGCCGGGTGGCCCAGCAGCAGGTGCTCCCGCCCAGGTCCAGAGCCGCGCGTCGCAGAGCCCGCTGTGCCACCGGAGACCCGTGGAGCCGCCAGGGCCGCACTCGGACGTCTGTCCCCAGCCTCGCGGTTGACAGCAGCGCTGGTGTAGGCGCGCGCAGGCGGTGAGTGCAATGATCCAGCCACCTGGCGCGGTTGTGATTTACCCCAAGGCGGGCACCCTGGAGTCCACACAGCTGAGACCTTAGGCGAACATTTCCGCGGGCTCTCTGGCCTCTTCGCCAGCCACCCCGGAACGCTGCCCTCTGCTGTGATCCAAGAGGAGTTTCCCCAAAGCGATCTAGATCTACGTTGATGTGGCCGCCTTGTCCCACACCTTTACCAGCCCCAGACTCCAGATCAACACCTTCAACATGAGACTGAGCTTACCCAGCCTGCATTCAAGGTTCTTAATAATTGGATGCTGGTCCACCATTTCTGTGCACCCTCTGCTGCCCTTTCCCAGCCATCTCTGCCGCCTCTCCATGGGACTCACCAAGGACCCAGTACCAGCCTAACTGACTGCTGGAGGCTTTCTCCTCTTCCTCTTCCTTTTGGCAAACTCCTATTCACCCGTTCAGGCCTTGCCCAGATACCTCTCTTCTGAGAAGCCTTCTCCAGCCTCCCTCCCTGACCATGATTATATCTACTCTCCTGTTCCCTTGCCATGATCCTGGAGTTTTGTATTTAGCATGTCCTGTCTTTGTAGGCTTGTTTTTGGTCACAGGCTTTTTGGGAGTTCCAGAACTATGCCTTTCTCCATGTCTGAAGCACTTTCCTTTCCCCCAAGCACAATGACATGTTAGGAGCCCAGTATGGTTTGCCACATATGTAGGGCAGGGGTTAGAGCCACCATCATTCAGATGAGGCTGGTATGAAGGTTTCAGGCTTCTAGGGCACAGCCAGTTTGTGAAAACAGGTAGTGAGTTCTGGCCTCTTGGCTACTTTGTCGAGTCATCCAATGTAATGCTCCTATTTGTTGAGTTCCTTCTGTGTGCCCCATCGTGCAAGGTTAGGTACTGTTGCATGGGCCATTTTACAGATGAGAAAACCTAAGGCCCAGAGGGAGTTACTGCCTCAGGCAGCACGGGGAGGAATTGGGATTCAGACCTAGGTTGGCTGATGCAAGAGCTTCCTGCCCTGGTACTTTCAGCCTTTTCACAATCCTGGCAAGTTCAGGGGAATGGAGATGGCAGAGTCCCAGCTCCAACCTGGGTGTGACCCCAAACCCTGCTTGGTGGGGGAGTCCTGAAACGCTCTTCCCAACTTCAGTGGGCTTTGGGACAACAGCTCCAGAGTGTCCTGATGAATCAGGGCTGCTAAGAGGTCTCAGGAGAACCTCAGTCCCAGCCCCAGCCCTGGTTTTGTTTCCATGTGGCTTTGGCTCAGTCAGGGCTTCCAGGAGGGCTTGGATCTGCAGATTTATTGCCGTGCTCCGGAATTTCTTGTCCACCTCAGATATGGGTGTCTGGGGGATGGCCGCCTGGAATGAGAGTAAAACAGGGGTTATCTTGATCTCCAGATGAGGTTGTATCTGCTTGTGGAGTTGCTGGGGAAGCCTCTTTGCCTTGGATCTTGCTCACGCTCTCCTTCCGGCCCCTGATAAAGAGTCCCAAACACAGGGCCGTAAAGGTGGTCATAAAAATGGAGGAGAAATGCTGGCACAGCTGGCTTATCAAAGCGCATCGCAACGCCCGCCAGGTCTCCCTACTTCAAGTTTATTTCTCCTCCTCTGCTTTCTCTCAGAAGGTGTCTCGTAAACAGCTAAGAGGGTCATTTATAAATGTCTTCTGCCTTCCTTCTCAGCACAGGCGCTGCCGCCTTGCTGTCTTCCTGCTTCCAGGTACATGGATGGTAAAGAGATGGTCTAGGCATGGAGCACGGTGACCTTTTTCTCCTGTCTTCCAGGTGCCAGCTGAGATGAGATGTGGAAGCTGGAGGGGTCTGGCATCCCAGACAGGGGTGAGAATCCCAAAGGTGAGTGACAGTGACCCTGGTCTTGCCAGCTTCCTCCCATCATATTGTTGGGGATTGAGGGGTGGGCTGACCTCTGAGGAGGGGGCATCTTGCAATGGGCTGGCCTCTGTAGTTAACCCACATCACAGAATCAATCCGATGGCATGAGAGCTGAACAGACTTTAGAGATTGCCTTGTGCAAGTCTCTCGTTATTCTGGTGATGCCTAGGGGTGGTGTTGGACACTTTCCTGAAGCAGAGGCAGAGGCAGAATTCTGGAACCAGAGGCAGAACTCGAATCTCTTGCCTCCAGACTGGGTGCAAGAAGTACAACCTTATAACCATAACAGCAATAATCCCTCCTGCGTGTTTCAGGATGCGGAAGGCTTTGATGGTTCCCATTTTGTCTGATCTTTGCAGTGACTCCTAGGGCAAAGCATGTGATTCCCATTTTACAGATAAGAGGAACTGATGCTCATAGGTGCTGGGTGCCTGGGGCCAGCTTGCCTGGAGCCTCTGTTGACAGCTGTGTTCACTCTTTGGCCCTTCCATTCTTGACAGTTTTTCTTGTGGAGTTTCTTCTCATTCATTTTCAAGAGCAGCTCGTGGGACGTAATCTAAACACAGCCCTCGACTCCCTAGTCCTCCTACCCTAACCTCCTGAACTGTCAAGCCCACAGCTTCATGCTCATGAGACGAAGCAGGGTGGGGTACTTCCCTGGGTCTTGGTCCCGCTTCCTGGGGGTTGTTTGGGGTCCTAACAGGTGAGAGGCTCGTGGCTGGGTTTGGCAAAGCTCCCCAAATGGTGAGAAGCACTGGGGACTCAGAGTCCTGGGCGAGAGGGCCCCAGATTTTGAAGATGGGTGGGTGGGGTGGTCAGAGTGGGTGTGCGATGGGGGCCCTGGCTGTGGGAGCATAAGCCTTGCCTGAGTCCCTGTCTCTCTGGCAGCGCCCAGTGCTTGGCATGCAGCAGGCACTAGGGAAATGCAAATTGTACAAATTAGCTCAGCCTCGGTGGCCATGGTAACTGCACCTGCCTTGACCACAGAGTGGCTTCCCCCTGCATTTTTTTATAGCGCTTTTTGTGAAAGGTATCTATGTATTATACCATATCTATCTAGAACCTCTCCCCATGCCCCACCCAAGTCAGGTAAGATTGTTTTTACATTGGCTGCTCTTCAGCCCAGCAGGACTTGGTTTTGCTCTGGGCATATCCATCCCCTGCATGAGGTGGGAACTCATTCTGCATTTCTGCACTTCCAGAGCTGATTCCTTCATGCAGGCTGATTTCACTTGTGAATAGGCCTCCAAAAATAATCTGTGATTTAGGAGAATAGGTTCTCCATTCAGGAACAAACAGAGGCTTCACGTGGTCTGGTGACTTCGCTGGGGTTGCATAGAGAGCTGGCGGCAGACCCAAGGTTATGATCCTGGCCTCCGTGTCTCTTTTTGCCCCTTGTTTCTTGTTCTTTCCCAGAATAACTTGCTGAGTGGTTAGGGGATGTGCAGGCTGCTATGGTGGCGACCCTTGTGAGGCCAGGTGGGGGAGGCCCTTGTGTCTGCCTGGTGCCTGTAATATATTTGAATTATCTCTGCAGATGAGCCCTGATTTAGCAAACAGTCTAGAGTAAACCTCAGCTTGAAGACAAATACAATTGACACTGGGCTTGAGTGGTTCAAAGGTTATTGGCACAAAGCTGTCAACTTTGTTTAGCCAAGGGGCTGTATTTATGATGGGTGATATGCAGTGCCATCCATAACTTGCCGGCAAGAGGGGCTGACGTCGGACCAGAGACAGCTTATTTACACTGAGCCTGGAGTTTAGTTTCTCTGCTGGGACATGCAAAGGCAATTCGATTCTTGGCCAAGTTGCTTTATGGGTTGCTGGCTTAGGTCTGGTGTCATAATTTGGGTCATCAGTTAACCTTGCTGGGGAGGGATAGCACCCCTCAAGGGGATCATTTCCTGGGTGTGTGTACAGCAGGGTGAACTGGGGGAAAGGTGGAGAGGTAGGAGAGGTCCATGGGGCTATTCAAAGGATGTAATCATGGGTTTCACATTGACCCCTAATTTAAGCCCCACATACACTGGAGAAGCAGCACCTCTGAGTCTCTGAGGCCTGGGACTTGATTCCTACCTGTATCTCTTGGATGCTGTGGCTAGTTTAGGGAAAGGAACCACGGGGCAGACTTGCACTGAAGAGATTCATGTGGTTGCAGTGTTAGACAGGCAGGCTTTATAGACACCGGATTCCTTGGGAGAGAAATTATCCCACGAACAAGCAAACTGTGGCTGTAAGGAGCCACGCCCAGTGCAGGCAGAGGTGTTTGAGGTTGCTATCAAAAGCTAGCCTGTGGTTTGGCTTTTTGGAGAGCAGCAGGCAATCTGTATCAGGGCCTTACAATATGCTTCTTTTGGTGACCCATTCATTCCATTGGCTAGAATCCATCCTGAGGAAATCATCATAGATGGGGACGAAGATTCATGCACCTGGATGTTCACTGCAGTGTTATTTATAATAGCAAAAAAAGGAACAAGTTAAATGTTCAACAGTAGGACATTTTTATTACATTAATTATGGCATCTCAATAAAATGGAATACTGTAAACTGACTCAGTGTGTATAAAGAATGTTTTATGATTTGCCAAAATGACACAAGTAGGGGAAAGAAATATTTTATAAATTGTCTCTAAAGTTTTCTGTTGTATAAAACACTCTACAAAGGAGGGAAACACAGCAGAATGTAAGTGAGTTAGCTCAGACAGTGGGATTCTGATTGTTCAATTCCCTGACCTCTTCATGGAATATATTTTCAGTTTCTGCTAGAGGTATATATTACTTTTCAGCCTCAGAAAATATTATTGAATAAATAAACAAAAATCAAAATTTACACTTCTTTGGTGGTCCCTGCTCTTCTCCAGACCTCAGTTTCCCTGGGCCTAAGAGGAGATGCTGGGCTACTCTTGTTCTGCCCTGGCTTGAGTCCTGGGCTGGGAGGAATGATCCTCTGAGCCAGTGCTGGCAACGTGCCTGTGATCACCATGTCCTGGGTCTAATGGGCCACCTAATTTTAGTGCATGCTGGGGCAGCTGCCTAAGTGTGGCCCCAGCTGCCAGGCAGACGGTCAGGGTGGTATTGGCAGCATCGGCAACCTCTCTGCCAGGCTGGTGAGGTCAGAGCACAGCTTGGGACCCGGCTGGGTAAGTCACAGAGCCGTGGGGGGATTCTTCAGTGTCCATGACACAGAACATCACAGCCTGCATTTGGAAAGAAATCCACTAGCCGGGATCCTTGGATTGAGCAGACTGGAAGGGGGTGCCTTTGGGGAGTGAGGGAGAGGAAAGGCCTACATGCTTTAAATGCTGAGTGTCATTTTGCTGGAATTCCAGAAGTCACCCTGCTACCAGGGTTCCCAATTTATGGCTTTAACTTGTCTCTGAGCCAAATTCCATTTGTCAACTGGGGACTTGCATGGAGACATGAACGTTTCCCTGAAAGGCCTTGGCTGAGGGCATCTTCTGATAGTAGGCAGCTGTGGGCACTGTGTCCTTCGCCAGAATAGCTGGAGTGTGAGGTCTTCAGGGGTGTGAGCTTGAGAACATCTCTACCAGGAAGATGGTTCAAGGGCAAATGGAGAGCAGGGCTCGGTCGGTGAGAGAAGATGGGAATGCTCTGGCCTCCTCCCTGGGCTCCTGCCTTCAGCTTTGTGTCACTTGCTTTGCAAGTCAAGCCACCTTTCTAAGCCCAGCTCTTATTTGTCACCCTCACCTTCACCCCCATCTTGGCTCTGTAGAGGCTGTGAATGAAGCCAAGACCCCTGAGTGTGGCATTCAAGATCTTTGCGTCACTTGACCTCAACCTATTTTCCTGCTTTTTTGCTCACATGCTCCCTACTCTAGCTAAACCCTAGCCTATCCCTTCTCTATTCTTGGACACACCATACATTCTCATTTCTCTTAGGCTGAAATTTTCTTTTGTGACTCTACCTCAGTTTAGTCACTGTTTATTGATGGAATACCTATTATGGGACTGCGCAAGACTCACCAGATAAACTCCTATTCAACTCTCAAGACCCAAATTTCTTTTGGTCTGTCATGCCCTCATCAGCATGACCTCCTAGGTCATCCTATCTCGACTGATGATGATGTTTTATATCTCATATTCTTGGAGTGTTTTGTCTGCTTTTCCCACTGGGCCTTGGTAACTTTCCTGTGTGCTCCTGGCACAAGGCATAATTTTCTCTAAATAGCTGTTGGGTGTTGTCATACGGAGAAGAGTCATTAGTGAATGCCGACAAAGCAAGTGAAAGGATCTACTCCCTGGAGTTGTAAGGACATGGGATAATGATAGCAAATAGTGTCAGTTTACACTTACCAAGCACGTACTGTGTGCCAGACACTGCACCAGGTGCTTTCCATGCATTAATGCATCTAGTCCTCCTCGACCCAAGAGATTGGTGTGGCTAGCCCCTCATGTTACAGATGAGGAAACTGAGGCACAGGCAAGTTAAGTCACTTGTTCAGGCTCATGCAACCAGTAAGCAGATGAGCTGGGATTTGAACCTCTGCAGCCAGGCTCTCAAACTTGCGCAATATTTCTTCTTTCCTACCAGGCACAGCAGTGATATTTGGCCCCTGGAAAGTGAAGGGCACCCCCGTAACCTGGTGGGTCCTGGTGCTGATGGTTGTTGGCAACCTTGCACAGGTACATGGTGTGGGGGTGGTCGGGGATGCCCTCGGGGGAAGGGCTTTCCTGAATCTATCCTAATGACATACTCAGGTATATTTTTACATCTCCTTCTCTTACCCCCACTGCCTGCCATGCAGGGGATGGGAGTCCCCTCTCCTTTGCCTCTCCACAATGTGCATTTATTTTACTTGCAGTTATGATGCACTTACTGCCCAGGCACTGAGGGTGTAGTGGTCCCTGCCTCAGTGGAGCATGATCTTGTCAGCTGGCATGGCTTTCACATTATTTTAATCCTACATTGCAGGTCTGGCACAGATCCCAGGTGGTGCCCACCCCTGCCTGCATTTATCCCAAGCTCTGGGGTGGCCTGAGGCGTTTCTAAGGACCCCACGTCTTCCCCCACCTTCTGTCTGTCCAGGCTCTGTTGTGCAGTGTCTGGAGAACATCTTTAATGCTATGGAGGAGGTCGAAGCTGGGGGCAGTGACTGTTTAATGAGCTGACTGAGTAGTTGAGAGCACTTCAGGAGGAGAGGGGCCTGTCTGTTTCTGAGACCCATCATGGACCTTATCTGTGCTTAGTTTTCAGTGTCTGCTTCCCTACTGGGGCCAGAGTAGAGATGCCTTAAGATGAAGGAGATGAGGATGACCATGAGCTCAGTATTTGTTTGCTGGGGCTACCATAACAAAGTACTAAAAACCGGGTGCTTAAAACAACAGAAATGTATTCTCTCACTTCCTGGAGGCTAGAAGTCCAAAATCAGGGCTGGCTCTTTTCTGGGGGCTCTGCGGGGACATTGTTCCATCCCTCTCTCCTGGCTTCTGGCAATGGCCAGCAACTCTTGGCTTTCCTTGGCTTGTGGACGCATCATGCCAGTCCGTGCCTCCATCATGTGGCATCCTCCTTGTGTCTGTGTCCAAATTTCCCTTTTCTCACAAGGACACCAGTCATATTGGACGAAGGGCTCACCTTACCCCGGGATGACCTCATCTTAACAAGTTATATCTGCAATGACCCTATTTTCAAATAAGTTCACATTCTGAGGTTCAGACTTCAACATGTCTTTTTGGGGACACAGTTCAACCCATGACAGACTCCCTGAGAGAAATGCCTGGGCGCTGCTGTGGCATTGCTGGACTTGTGGCTCAGTTGTCCTCTTTCTGTTGAGGGCAGCCCAGGGAAGCAGGCGTGGATGTCCGGCCCACCCAGGCTCCAGCGGAAAGCTTTCCCGGCCTGGCCTCACAGCTCTGGGAGGGCCTCGGGAGAGACACGGGTGATCAAAGATGGCTGAGGGGCCAGGGGAGCAGCTGAGTCTCTGAGTGCCTCTTCTGCCTCTCCTCTTAGAAATGCAAATGGCATGTGTGCAGGAATCCTTTTAAGGGATGAAAGCAGTTTTTAAAAAGACATTAATCTCCTCACTCACTTCCTTCTGATGGTTGGAGATGAGTGACAAGCCTCGTAATTGAAGATGGTGGGGCTGATAATTCGGCAGTAGCCTCGGGAGGGATGTCTCAGGCTGTGAATCACTGCACTACACAGACCTGATTGTCTTCCTGATGGTATCTCCCAGGTCCTCACCGCCTCTTGCTGGTGTACGAAGATGCACACACACGTGAAGGCTTGAGTTGTCTGGTTGTTAGGGTGCGGGACGCAGCTTCCTGGCCCAGGGAATTTTTTTGGGGAGCAGTTGCTGCAGTGAGCTGGCGCCTTTGTGCACGGGCATCTGCCAGGTGGGGGGGCGAGAGTGCCTGTGCATAGTAGGTGTTTGATGTCTATTGAACGGAAGTATGCGAGGCTCAGGGTGGGCCTCAGACGCTTAGACAAGCTACACGTGGCCTCCCCAACACCCGAGGGCTCTTGTCGTCCTCCCCCACAGCAGCCTTCCTAGCATTCTCAGAAGGACCAGCCTCTCCCAGCTCATGGGGACCCACTGCCCAGGATGCTGCTGGTGAGTGTTGGTTCCTGGGGGATACTTGACCTTTCTGTTGCAAACACTTATGCCCACACTTGTGCAAGTACACTCAGATCCCCTACTCTTGGCTGAACCTGGGGGTTGTATGAGGATGCAGGTAGCAGTGAGTGCAGAGGAAGCCAAGGAGGGACTTACGGACCCCAGGGAGCCCCTGATGGGCCCATCATTGGCCCTGATGACTGAGGTTGGGTCGATGTTGCTAGCACCTCGGATAGGTCCAGCTCTAAGCTGGGCTGGGTCTGAGCAGAGTGGAGATGTGTGAAAAGCCTTTCTACTCCACATTTTCCCACAGCACTTCCGATAGAGCGTGTTGAGGGAGTCCCAGAAAGTGCAGCTCTCAGATGGGCTGTGTCCTGGAGACAGTATGCTGAGAGGCTGGGGAAGTGATTTGGGCTGTAGTCTCTGTGTGTGGTGTGTTTGTGTGTGTGTGTGTGTGGTATTCACTAATTCATTTACTCATTCATTCATGCATGTATTCATTCTAAGGTGCCAGTCATCATGTTTAATTCTCGGATTTCAAGGTGGGGACAAAACTGACATAGTCCCACCCTGTGGGAGCTCACAGCCTATAGAGGGAGACAGACATCAGTCCAGCAATCGCACCAATAGACACAAAACTACTGATACTGCATGGGGACGGCACTCTCTGCTGAGTTTTGCCACTGGTTTGTGACTTCTCCCTTCATGCCAGGGTATTCACAGGTTTCACTTATCTGGAGACCCCTTTGCTGAAGTGAACGTTTGTCTGTACACAGCAGAACAGCTGGCTGGGTGTTCCTGACCCCCATTCACTTGCCCTTCAAACCACCTCCCCAAGTCCCCAGTGGCCCCAAGGTTCTGGGAGTACAGTTTGGACATCATGGCATTGGGGGGCTAGCAAAAAAGCCTTGCATCTTTCAGAACAGCAGCAGCAGGGCAGTGAGAAGTCAACATTGCTGTTGCAGGATGATGCACTCAACAGAGTGGTCTGAGAGGGGCTGTGGAGTAAAGGAAGGCTGTGTCATCCAAACAGATGGATGAATGGGTCTGGACCAGCCTGGGGCCAGAGTGGGAGACTGAGCAGCTAATGGGAGCAGGCTGTGCTATGGAGAGTGGGCCCGCCCAGGGGCCCCTGTGGAAGAGGTGGGGGCCAGGGCTACCTGTGGGCTTGTGCTGGTCTCAGCATGGACTCTTGGCCCATACTTAGAAAGCGGGCTGTGTCAGTCACAGAGCTGAGCTCCTTAAGCAACATCCAAGAGCAGGCCCTTCCATGAAGAAGCCTGGGGAAGGGGAGGGCAGGATGGCTGAAGTCTCTGGGGCAGTGTTAGTTTTCTATTGCCTCTGAAGCACATTACCGCACACTAAGGGACTTTAAGTCAACATGCATTTATTATCTTACAATTCTGTAAGTCAAAAGCTGGACATGGTCTCCCTGGGTTAAGATCAAGGCCTCGGTCAGGCTGTGTTCCATCTGGAGACTCTAGGAAAGAATCTGTTTTCTTGACCTTTCTAGCTTCTAGAGGCTGCTTGCATTCCCTGGCTTGTGACCTCCTCCTCCATCTTCAAAGCCAGCCACACTGCATTTCTCGTACACCCCCTTCCATCGTTTCTTCTCCCTCTGACCAGAGCTGGGGAATACTCTCCACTTTTAGGGACCCATGTGATTACATTGGACCCTCCCGGGTAATGCATCATAATTTCCCCATCTCAAGACTCCCAAACTTAATCACGTCTGCAAAGACCCCTTTTGCTATGTAAGATACATCATTGCAGGTTCTGGGGAGTGGGTCATGGACATCTTTGCTTGGGGTGGGTGGGAAGCCTTCTGCCCAGGAATCTTGGCAGCCAGGGACAAAGAAGCATGTGACTCTTATTTGGCTTCGAAGGTAGGTAGTCCCCCAAGACTCAAACCTACAGAAACCACGCGCCCTAGCTAGAACTGGGTGTGGAGGACCCTTCTTCGTGGGTCACTTCTGGTGGGGACACCTTGACTGTGAGACCTGCCCCTCCTCGACCTGCCCCAGCCCCCGGGGCAGGGGTCCTTCTCAGGCTTTCTGAGCAGCATGCCTCAGCTCGGGGCTGCAGTCCTGGTGGGGGAGGGAGCTGCGATGATGTGGGGCACACTGAGTATCCCCAGGGGAGACCATGGCTTCTGGGGACCCAGGCAGGGGACCCCTTCTTTCTTTTCCTTTCCTTTCCTTTCCTTTCCTTTCCTTTCCTTTCCTTTCCTTTCCTCTCCTCTCCTCTCCTCTCCTCTCCTCTCCTCTCCTCTCCTCTCCTTTCCTTTCCTTTCCTTTCCCTCCCTTCTCCTTCCCTCCCCTTCCCTCCCCTTCCCTCCCCTTCCCTCCCCTCCCCTCCCCTCCCCTCCCCCCCTCCCCTCCCCTCCCTTCCCACAGAGTCTTGCTCTGTCACCCAGGCTGGAGTACAGTGGCATGATCTCGGCTCACTGCAACCTCTGCCTCCGGGGTTCAAGTGATTCTCCTACCTCAGCCTCCTCAGTAGCTGGGATTATAGGCACCTGCCACCACACCCAGCTAGTTTTTTGTATTTTTAGTAGAGACAGGGGTTTCACTATGTTGGCCAGGTTGGTCTCAAACTCCTGACCTCAAGTGATCCACCCACCTCAGCTTCCCGAAGTGTTGGGATTACAGGCGTGAGCCACCACACCTGGCCAGGACCCATTTCTGAGTGAGGAGCTGGAGCTGAGCAACTAAGAAGCACAGGTACCCCAGGGTACGTTTCCTCCCTGTGCCACCCCCAGATGCTGGCAGGCTCCCACTGACTTCTGTGTACCTTCTTCTCCAGGAAGGACCCTCAGGGTGGGTGCTGACCTTCTCTAGGAGCCCTCAGTCAGGAGGTCTGGGGTGTTGACCCATGACACTGCTATGGGGTTGCAGAGACCCCTCCAATGCAGAGGACGGGCTGGGGGAGTGCCCTGGACTGAGTGGCCTTCCCAGCAGTGCCATGGAAGCCACCCTGGAGCCTGAGGTGAAGGAAACACCAGTACTACTGATCCTGTCTTTATTTAACATTTTGGTGTTTTATTCATCATGGATT